TATGGGGCAGTTTACACATCAAATAATGGAATTGGTGGATCATTATTTATTGAATAAAGCAAGAATCCATGAATCTGAACTATTACGGTGGCACACACCTGTCATCCCAGCACTTAGGAAGATGAGGCAGTATGATCACCACGAGTTCGAGGCCAGCCTGGACTACACAGTAAGTTCAAGGCCACCCTGAACTACATACCAAGATCTTGACTCCAAAAACTAAAACAAAATTTAAAATTTAAAACATTAAAAAGAAAAACACGAATTCTCCACTATGGTTACAAGTAAGGCTAGATTTTACCACCTACATCTACACTAGAAAAGTCTCTCAAGTTTCTGACTGATATCATCATGGGAGGAACATTCCATAACACACTTTTGTAGCCTACACATTCTTTCTGTAAATGCATATTACTCTCTCATTTCTCAGAGGGTCTCACATTCAAATCACTTAAAATAACTTTTCCTGAACAAAGTCAATACTTTAAACGACAACAATACTAACTTCATGGGCAACAGAAACATGACTGTATATTTTTAGGGAAACAGAACTAAGAGTTCATCTAAAAGAGTAAAGGAAAAACAATTCTGTTCAAAGACAAGAGTGTTTAAGGTGGCCAGGTTCTGTATTTTATCATTTAGATCAGGTGTTGGCAAACTTTTTCTATAAAGGACAAGATAATATATATTACAGGCTTGTAAATTATCCCATCTCTGTGGCAACCACTCAACTCTACCACTACAATACAAAAGCAACCACAGATAATATATTAAAAAATGAATATGGGGACTGGGGATTTAGGTTTTGCTGCCTGCTGCACAGGTGCAAGGACCCGAGTTCGATCCCCGGTACCAAAAAAAATAATATGAACATGGTTTGTGCTTTAAAAAAAAGGTTTTATAAAAATAGGCAGTGGGGGGCTGGGGACTTAGCTCAGTGGCACTGTGCCAGCCTCTCAAGAGCAAGGTCCTGAGTTCAATCCCCGGTACCAAAAAAAAAAAAAAAAGGCAGTGGACACCTGATTTAGACAAAAGTATTTAACCCAATAACAACATGAATTACTGATATTTGACCATTTCTGCCTTTTACCAAATGAGACATACAAAAAAATTTAATGTTGCATTATCTAAAACAGCATTCTTTGAAGGCAGTTCTGATTGTTTTTAAAAAGCAGAGTAAGTAATGTTGATCTTCATGGACATAAAATAATCTCTTCACTCTACTAAAGGCTGAAATTTATAACAGAAATCAGGACATGTAACCTGCTGCACAGCAGATTTTACAAATGGTATTAGTGGAGTGAAATTTCAAGCATCACACTTTTCAGTTTTGTTAACTGTATTTTATTTCAACTTTCTGTAGAGTTTAATGCTTAGTTTTCTAGATAAATACTGTATTTTAAAAATAAGGATAATGTCTAGATAAAAGATGAAAGAAGAATAAGAAGAGTCTTTAAAAAGTGCTTAACTTCTCATGCATAGGAAATATTATCCCTAAATCATCTAAATCCAGGTACAAATGAAACTACCTAGACTTATTAGGAGAGATGGACATCTGTAATCTAAAGTGTTTATGAGAGAGGCTCTGGAATCACTAGCCACTACAACCCCTTGGTGCTTAACAATTGAAACTGCCAAGTTCATGGGAACCTTACCTCCTCCTCTTCACATGATCCAAATGAATGAAGATTTTTCCAGTCAAGTTATAAATAGTCATTACATGTAACCAGCTGTTTTGCCTTGTGAAATCTAAGCTGTATTTTTAGCAGAAGGGATAATGTACAACAATGCCTTTTTAGCAGGGGATTTAGCTCAATGGTGCTGCCGCCTGCCTCGCAACCACAAGGTCCTGAGTTCGATCTCCAGTACAAAAAAAGGAAACAAACAAACAATGCCTTTTCAGACAGATATATATGCACAAATCCCTGCCAAAAATGTAGCCCAGTAAATGTGCACATGAAAATGAATACATGCTCATAAGCAACAATGTGCTAGGTGAAGTTTCTGGTTCAGGTCTACTTTAGGAGTCAAATGTGTAAGCCTCGTGGTGTCAAGGCAGTGTTCCTGTGTATATAGGTATAGAAAAATAGCTCACTTAATCCTTTCTCGCCAGAAGTAGGGAATTTCCCGGAACGACATCCATTGTCGGCAATGGACGCACCAAAATAACGCTGGCGCCAGTGAGTTAACCACCTCTGTCCTCTTTTCACCTATTATATTTTTCATGCATCATCCAACTTCCCAACCATCTTCCTGTTTCTTCACAGAATGCACGCTAGGTTCTTGTTTTTCTTCAGCACGAAGTTGGAAATGGAGTTGAGAAAAGGAGACACATGGTCAGCTGGTGATGTTAACAAGCTCCTTGCTGCCCTGAGAAGCTAGATGGAAATGGTTCAAGTTACAAGGGAGATCATCATCAGATCTGGGAGGACAAAGAGTAATTCATGAAGCTTCATTCCCTTCCCTCCCACCCTTTTTCATTTACTGATGATCCCTACAGTCTGCCTTCACAGCAAAATCAAGATTAAGAAATCAGAAGCAATCTCTTTCAGTTCTTCACTCTGTCCAGTGTTGAAAAAGCAAGTGGAACACATGTCCAAAAATGTTAGTGTCTCCAGAAGGTCAGGGAGACTTGGAGTGGCTAACATAACCACCATCTTGGATCAATGTTTTTCAGTATGATTTTGGAATTAAATATCAGCAACTAACACTGTGCTTGGCAACAGATGCTTAAATAAGGTTTGTCGAATAAGGTATTTTCTTTTCAGCCATTGTCTACTCAAACACATAGGTGGAAGTCAGACAGAAGTAGTTAACTCTTTTGATGCCGGGATAGTATGGATACATACATCACATTAGTGATGTGTTTCTTTAAACATTAATGTGTTTCTTTAAAATGTGTTCAAATATGGATTCCTATTTCAGACTTCTGGTTAAATCCTATCTAAATTATCTTTTTAAAAAAGAACAAAAAAGAAAAAAACAGGACAACCATAATCAGAGTTTAGAAATCATAGCCACAGTAAATGTTAACTAGACTATAAAGAAATCTCCACTCCAATGTGTAACATAACATCACAGTTCACAGGCAAGTAAAGATATTTCTCAGTAATACAATTCCAGAGCAAACTACAGTTTGAAGAAGAAAGGATGATTTTATTTAATGGCTGCCTTGGTGCTAAGAGTTAAGATAAATCCAAAGTATGAAGGATAAGAAGGATATTTTAAGCATAAATAAAATTTTAAACCTCAAGTCAAGAGGATCATAATACCTACATCGTATTATAAAACTGCTCTGATCTTTCAGATAGAAGTGAGGATAAGAAGGGGAAGAAATAACTCTGTAAGGACTGATGTCCAGCGTGTGAGTTTGAATCACTCCAGTTACATCTAATTGGGTTAAATTTATTCTAGAGAATAATTCATATTATCACAACGACAAAAACTATTACACAGAAAACCAAAAATATTTATTTTCATGGTTTTTAAGAGACGACAGGTTTATGATCATCATATCTTAGCGATATAAAAAGCTGTCAATCATAGACTTCTCAGGCAAACTACTGGGTCCACAACCCCATTCATTCTTATAACACTATGGCTGCAGAGGATTTTTTCTATAGCCACTTTTGTACTTGTCTCCATCTCTACTTTTGTTACTGAGCTACAGTCCTAAGTGCAGGCTCCAGCAGCAACAGCCTCCAAACACAAGAAGGACTTCTTTTAGGGATTCCTGTGCTGTCATAAAATAGGCTTTAAATAGGTGACCATCCCAGTTAATCTTCCAATTAAATGCAATTCTGATTCCCGGAAATCACACATTCTATCACAAGCAGATCTGTTATGAACGCTTCCTTTTACATTTATAAAAAAGTCAGATTTCATAATACTTAATAAAGTTTATGCTGAATTTTAAGTGATGGAAGAGTAAAATAAGTAAGAGCACAAATCAAGAAACAAAAGCTGAAACCACACCATACTTAAAGAAGGGTCTCAACACAGCAAGTGGGAAGCAATGAATACAACCAAACCACCAGCTACTCATTTCATTCAGTGTACGGCCAGGTCCACTGGATCAAATCACAGGATCTAATGTGGTGAGCTTTGTACCTTCATCTTGTGGCAAATAAATCTGGACTGCTTGTTTATTTGATTGCTTCACCTCTAGCAGGGGAGAGGAGGAATAGAAAAACAGAAGGTGGGAAATGACCTGTTCCCTCAGGGTCCTTGAGATGTGGATTTCAGGTCCAGCACTTACAACCAAAATGTTACCATGTCTCTCATAAACTCATCTTTCTACACACACTTGTATTTATTCAAGACACAGGCTAGGTTTTCTGCAAAGCTAATCTTACACATCTTGCTACATTTTTTAAACAAAAAATTTATTTATATTAGGCATAAGGATTCTAGGCCTATTTTTTCTTTAGATGTTTTCTGTCCAAAGAAATAGGCATTTAAAATCAGGCCTATATGAGACAATAGTGGAACTGAGTAATAAGTAGCTCCATAAAGTTGTTTTTATAGAATAAAAATTCATGTTCAATTATTTTTGATGAAGTTACTAAATTATTTGGTTTTTCTGATTTCAACTGTAATATATTAATCCAATAAACTGATTTCCAATTAATTTAAACATTTTCTTCATTACAAATAGAATCAAGGTTTTACTGAAAAGATGTGCTTATTTTTCATGTAAAGAAGAACGCTTGAATGACTAAAGTTACTATTGTAATATATTCCTCTGAATGAGGGAAAAGGAGACATCTGTATATTGGTTTGACTGGCCCATGACTTTTGCCAAGAATATTTGAATATTTGAAATTTTTGAATATTTTATCTTAAAAGAATGTTTGAGACACATTTAACATAAGCTGAGAGTAGAGAAAGTATTCCATTTCTCAAATACAGATGGTTAGAAAAGCAGTTAACTTAACTGAGGTTTACAGAACCTTAAACCTGAATAATTCAGGTTACAGTGAAGAAAAAATGCTTCTTACCTTTAAGTCTTTCCAACTGTCCAGTAGCTTGGTGGCCAAATCACTTATATCCACTGTTTTATCTGGCTGTTCTTGGCTCCTCTCACTCTCCACATCAGACACGCCCTCCTCTTCATCCTGGGATGGTGTTTCCTCAGCAATGGGTTCTTCCAACTTGGTGCCACTGCTCTCTTTGGGCTCCATCTCAGCGTCAGCTTCTGGTTCCAATGTGGGAAGTTTACTGGCCTCCACAGTGGTTTCACTCTCAACTTTGAATTCAGGCAGCTGTTCAGGGAATAGCTGTCGTGACTGCATCTCTTCCTCTTCCTCTACAGTGACATTTTCTAACTGATCAAGGTCCTCTTTGCCATCCTTGCCTTCCAGCTCACTGGCTGCATCAGAGACTGCACTATCCATGCTATTTTCACTTATAATTTTAAGTCTGCGAAACATGAGCTTCTTGGGAGTGTCTGTGTCAGCTTCTGTGCTCAGCTTGGTAGAAGGATCAGGTGTATTGAGGGGGGTGTGTGCACGAGATGTATTTTCACTGGAATACCCATCTCCTTCACTCAATTGGGGAGCAGTAGTCTTGGTCTGAGACCAACGCTGAATAATTGGAAGTACTTTGCTTTCCTCCAACATATTTTTAGTAGGAATGGGTAAGTGCTCCAAGGTCTTTATGATCTGATTAAACAAAAATTTTAAAAATCACATCACTTTGTATAAGTGACCTTTCAAACTTCTGGATGACACTCATTATTTCTATAGGGGTATTACATTTTGGAACAGTCTTATTAAGATGTAAGCCTTTGTGAACAAAGACGCATTTAAAGATTATATATTATTTTACCTTAGGAAGAAAATTTTTTCCTTTTTTGGCTTTTCTCTTGGTCTTTTTATCTTTTATTCTTAGAAAATTATTTTAGTAAGTCTAACTAATAAGAATAAAATGCAGAACAGGTGACTATGAACAACATCAAATAGGACTGATTCATATTCTCTACCAGTAGTTCCCAAACTTACACAGCTTTACTAAAAAATATATACAGTATTGAACTTCATTCTGAGTATCATTTTCTATGAAGTTCCCCAAGTGACTATAATAAGACTTGGAAACCACATAAGAATGGGCCAGGGATGTGGCTCAGCAGCACTGCACCTGTCTGGCAAGCACAAGGTCCTAAGTTTGATTCTCGGTACTGGGGAACAAAAAAAGAATGTGATGGATCGATCCATTGATCTGACTGACTACTGACAGGGTCTCTCTATGTAGTTCAGGCTGGCCTTAACTTATGGCAATCCTATCTCAGCTTTCGAGTACTGGGACTACAGGTGGGCGCCATTATGCCTGGCAAGAAAAGGTTTAATTGCTGTCTCACATGCAAATGATGCAGACATTACCTCTTTAATCTGTGATAAGTAGCTATTTAGCAAGAGAGACTTTTGCTTCATTTGGACACATTTCCCACTCTGAAATCCAGTAATTTCTTCCCAAGTACTCCTAGGTATAGTTCTACAGAAACCCCAAAGTTTCCTCAACTTTTTTTTTCTAGCAGTACTCAGACTGAATGCAAGGGTACTCTACTACTGAACTACATCCCCAGCACTCCCCTTCTTTTATTGGTACTGAGGATCGAACTCGGGACCTTGTGCTTGTGAGGCAGGCGGTGGCACCACTGAGCTAAATCCCCAGCCCAGAAAGTATGATTTTTAAAAAGATATATATCAAGTTAGAAAATACTGTTCAAAAGACAGTATAAACACAGTGGTATAAACACTGCAACTCCACTAACAATACTGTCAATAAATCTTTGTTTTGCTTTCTTGGTACTGGGGGTCAAACTCAGGACCTTGCGCTTGCAAGGCAGGCGCGGTGCCACTGAGCTAAATTCCCAGCCCTCACTGCCAATAAATCTTAACTGAGATTGTTTAAAACATTTGCATCTCAAAATATCCTTCCTCTTTTTTTCTTACTCTTGTCATCTAAAATTCAGCTCCTTACCAATTTTTCAGAACCCCAGAATTCAAGTTTTATATTGTTTCCCACCATTTTAAATTGATAGTCTTGCCCGGCACAGTGGCACAAGCCTGTAATCCCAGTACTTGGGAGCCTGAGGCAGGAGGATTGCCTTGAGTTCAAGGCCAGCCTGAACTACACAGTAAGACCTTGTCTCAAAAAAAATATAAAAAGAGATAACCTCAGCAACAAACTGGATCATTACTTAATTACAATGATGTAACTTGCTCTTACAGTTCTCAGCTACATAATCAACCTTAAGAAGATACTACCGGGGAAAGCCATAGGACAAGCTCACTACTAACAAGACATATGAACAGTTAATTATAGTTGCAGGAATGATACTGGGATGATAAACTTGTTTATTATTAATGTTAGTGGTAAATATAGTGTTAAATTCATAATCATGCAGTCAATATAACAGTTTAAAGAAATAAGCAAGATGAATGTGACCTGACCTCTTCCTGAAGCTTCTGGTTACTTTCCCGGCCATCACCAAGCTCTGCCATCCAGATCCATAACAAAGACAGCCCATGTCGTTCCAGAAAGGACTTCAGGCAGGATTGTGAGTGTGTATTCTTTCATGGGGGAAGAGAGAGCAGATGCGGAGGTTGGGGAGACAGAATGTTATAGAAGGACCATGGAGAGGACCATACGTATTAGTAAGAAACCTTTAAATTGTATTTTCATTAACCCTAACTAAAACTGTGTAACAAACAAATGGTTTAAACTAACAGATTTACAATCATTTCTGGTATATAAAAAATGTGTCTTTTCTGGTAATAAAACAGGACTTATTAACACAGAAAATTATAAAAATAGGTCACTTACAATGAAATTCAATTCTGAATGACTAAGGGAAAAATTGCATTTACCTTTTACTGAAAAAGCTACAACCAAAAAGTTAGTCTTTCAATCATTTTTTCTGTCCCTTTTAGATGCTTATTCAAAAGGCTTTTTCTTTCTGGTTAGATCTATGAATTCATTTTTATTACCCAATTTCTTATGGCATATTTAATAAAGAGGAGTGAATAAGACTGTTAAAGTTCCTTGCTTTGGCTGGGGATTTAGCTCAGTGGTTGCGCCGCCTGCTGCTCAAAGTGCAAGGACCTGAGTTCGATCCCCGGTACAAAAACAAACCAACAATAAAATCCTTTAAAAAAAAAAAAAATTCCTTGCTTTGAGATCATAAAGTTAAAAAAAGATAGCTTTGGTTTGTTAATAACTAGGGTTTGGGGTGGGTTATACCAAGTGCCACTAACTGTTACATCAAAAAAATCCCACTGAATTCTCTGTCCAGATAGAGAAAGCAAACCAGATCTACTAATAATATTGAATTCATTGGCCATTTTTAAGACTGCAAGCATTCAGATTCACACAGAACTCATACCCATTTAAAAAATAACATTCATTCTTCTCATCAGCTATACTACCCCATCCCCAATCCAGAAATAAAAAATAAATTTATATTAAAGTATTCACCTGAATAAGCTTGAGACAGGTAAGTTTCTGCTCCAAAGTTTCAATTCGAACCATTAACCGGGATAAACTGAGCACCTGGTTTTTATCAGAAAGACCTTCACCATTTTCCATCAGTGCTTCTAGCTCTCCATCTACCTACCACAGCAAAGAAAAATATCTGATTATAAAAAGAGAAAGCCACCCACTGACTTAAGAACCAAATAATGCATAGGGTGTGTGTGGTAGCACATGCCTGTAATTCCAGAACTTGGGAGGCTAAGACAAGATAATCATGAGTTGGAGGCCAGAGTGGGCTACATAGTAAATCCGAGGCCAACTTGAACTACACATAGTAAGATCCTCTCTTTAAAAAAAGGAAGGTTAGGGGAGGAAGGGGAAAGAAACCTCAGTGGTGCTATAATACAGTGTCCATATAATTTGGATGGTCAAACAGTGTGATCAATTGTAAAATTAATTAACTTTTGGAATACCTGGAGAAAGGAGGCAGAGAATAAATTTGATTTTCCTTTCATTATTTACATTTACTAAAAATATTACTTTTTATTTATGGGTCACTACCTCCCAAAAAAGATCTACAGAAACTAAAAGCATAAATGTATAAAAATGATTAGGGTGTTTTAAAATAAACAGATGTTCCTTGACTTACAATGGGGTTTGGTCCAGATAAATCCTCTGTAAACTGAAACTATCACCTAACCTACTGAACATCATACCTTACAGCAACACAATACACTACAGAGTACTGGCTGTTTACCCTCATTATTCATTCAGTGGCTGAGTAGGAGCTGTGGCTCGCTGTAGGTGCCCAGAATCAAAGAGTACATCATATTGCATATCACCAGCAGCAGAAAAGATCAAAATTAAAAATTCCAAAGTTGGGCCGGGGGTTTAGCCCAGTGGTTCTGTCTCCTGCCTCGCAAGCGCAAGGACTCGAGTTCGATCCCTGGTACAAAAAAAAAAAATCCAAAGTACAAGGCGTGATCAAAAATGCAATGAATACCACTGTCAAGTGCCATCCAAGGAAAAGCACTCATAAAAACACAACTATGTTGTCCTCACCCACTTTTGTGCACTGCATCCAGCACGATGCAATTTCTGGCTCATGCCCAAAGTCAAAATAACCACGAAAAGTAAACATTTTGAATCGATTCAGGACACCAAGGCAGCCACAACAGCACACCTAAAGACACTCAAGAAAGAGGACTCCAGAGCTGCTTCAGAGACTGGCAAGAGCCGTGGATAAGTGTGTTCAAAGTGAGAGGGAGCATCTTGAGGGAGATTAATGGAAATGTCTTTTACTATAATACATTTTAAAAATTTAAAGTCACCATTTTTCAGTCACCCCATGGTACAGTTTCTACTGAATGAATATCACTTTCACATCTTTGCAAAGTCAAAAAGTTAGTAAGCTGAAACACCGTTAAGCCAGGAACTGTCTATACTTTAGCGTATTTGCAAATCTAAGAGCTATTTTAGGTACTTTTTGATGAAATATTTAACACATATAAGAACAGTATACAAATAGCAAATAAACAGGTTTAATAAAAAACACAAAGTAATAACCATGTAACTACTGTCCAGGTAAAAAAAAAAAAACCTTTTATATTATGTTTTCTTCATAGGATACTACCAGCATTCCTGAAGTGCCCAATGCACCCTTTCCAAGTTATACAACCTTCCCTTCTTGTGCTGTAGAAATAACATGGCCTAACTTTTTGGAAAATGGTTCTTTGATTTCTTTACAGGTCCACCTGCTAAATGCAAATCCCTGACCATAAATAGGGCATCATATATGCAAGGTAAATGTTCCACCACATCCTCATCCCTTTTTTATTTTTTGAGACAGGGTCCTGCAAGTTGCCCAGGCTAGCCTGGAACTTTCAATGTTCCTGCCTCAGCCTTCCAAGCAGCTGCAATTAGAGGCATGCACTACCACTCCCAGCACAACTCTGTATTTTAAGAGTCATCATTATGTTTACTGGTATCACTTCTTTTTTTCTTTTGTTTTTTGAGACAGGGTCTCACTATGTAGTTCAGGCTGGTCTTGAACTCAGTGTGTAGCCCAGGCTGGCTCAAACTCACAGCAGTTCTCCTGCCTCAGCTTCCCAAGTTCTGGGATTACAGGTGTGCACCACTACACCCAGCTCTGATATCACCTTTTAATCATTATACTTTTATTGTTTCCCTAATATTATCTTCCCATCAAACAAGGAAAATTGCTATAATTTATAGTTCCTAACAGAGCTAGTTCCTGCAAAGTTCAGGAATAAGATAACTGCATAAATTAAGTATCACAGGGAGAACTACTTAACACCCCTTAAGCTCTAGTAAAATTGAAGGCAGGCCCCCTAAATGTGCCATTTTCACTATGAATCCAGCTACATGGTTGGAGGCAGATGATATAAGGATAATACTTCTGAGAAACAGTGCTCTAATAAAGTGGTCCTCACAAAAATGGAGAAATTTTTAAAGCAATACAAAGTCTCAGTTGAGAGTTGAAAGTCTAAAGGTAGTAGCAGGATACTACCCTCCCTTTCCTCAGAAGTCACTCAGGTGATACACAGTGCAAAAAACAAACAGGTTATCAACTGTTGGTTCATTAAATGAAAAGACTATCTGAGAAAACTTTTTTCCATTTTCAGATTGTCTGTTTTCTCTCAAAACTCATAGCAGTTTCAGACATTTTAAGAATACTTTTAAAGTGCGGCCGTGGGTTCCCCCACCAGGACATGCGCCTGCGCAAAGGTCAAGGCCTCCCGTCGCACCTGATGGTGGGAGGCAGCAGCTCCTCCTCTTCCACGGGCGGGAGAGTTAGCCACAAAAACACCATGAAAGATACTGATAAAGACACTACTATATGCTCATTTTCTATGCATATTTTCAGTTATTCTAAGTGTCCTTATTCCATCATTCTTCATGGAGGATTTTTCAATATTGGACACACACTTGACGTGGTTTTGCTTCTGTTCTCTTTTTGTAACTTCAATCAATCTTGTATTATATTTAGTACCAAAGCCAAATGCATCCTCTAAAAGAAGTTCATTATCACATAAGGTAACCAGATTTTTGAAATGCTGTGTCTACTTTCTTGTGTCTTGTTTCTCCTTTCATGTGATTTTTGTTTTATATGGAGCACTACTAATTGAGTTGGTGTTGGAAACATTTTTATTTACAGTTATTTTGTCTACTTTTACTACTGTACCTTGTTTACGTTTGTTAGAACCAAACCTCAATACATGGCTAAGAGTTTTCAGTAAAAATGGAGTTACATCCATTTGGGAGAACAGTCTCCAGATCACTACAATTTCTAGTTTTGTAGGAGCATGGCTTGCAGCATTTCCTATTCCATTAGATTGGGAAAGACCATGGCAGGTATGGCTCATCTCCTGTACACTTGGAGCAACCTTTGCCTACATGGCTGGCCTTGTTATTTCACCACTCTGAATATACTGGAATAGAAAGCAACTTACATACAAGAACAATTAACTGGAGCAAAGGGAGAAGATATTTCTTTGTGCAGATTCCGTAAGGGCTGTGCAGAAATGTATGTGGTCAAAGCCAAGCAGTTCCATTTACAGCACTGTTGTTTTTTTTAATGTAGTTTCAACATGATGTGATTGTAGCTTTTTAAACTATGAAAACCCTGAGAGATTGTACCTTCTAGCTGAAATAAAGTATTTATAACAGGAAAAAAAAAAAAGAATACTTTTAAAGTTTAGGGTTCCACGCTGGGCACAGGGGCACTTGTCTGTTGCCCCAGCTATTTGGGAGCCTGAAGCCAGAGGATTATTTGAGGCTAAGAGTTCCAGACCAGCCTGAACAACACAGCCAGACCCCCATCTCAAAACAAAAAGTGTAGAGTTTCAAACCCAAGACAAACCAATAATAAAAAATTAGGAATGTAACCAGACTCAGGTGAGCTATCAGAGGAGGAAAGACAAATACTTTATTTGTACTTAGGAGGTTTACAGGCTCTGAAACACTATTGGCACAAGTGTTTTCAAGAATATCTCAATAGTTCTACATACTCAAATCTAATCTATATGAATCTGAAGTAAAAGTAGCCAACCACATCTCTTTTCTAGTAATATCACATCTGATTCTAGCTTTCTCTGTTAGAAGGATGATCTCTTCAATCAGAAAAGCTATCTCCCTTCTTAAAATTTTTCTTATGGAAATTGAAAGACAGAACACTTACTGAATCCTTCTTACGAGAGCGTTCCTTTTTCATTTTCCCTCCAGCAGCTCTGATACTGACTCTGTTTTCTCCTCCCAGGTAACCTCGGCAATTAGCAGACCCGCAGAAACATTTTTGAGCTTCTTTTCTGCATAGGAAACAAGTTAGTTATGTGGTAGAAAACTGTATGAAAATGGCAACAATATAATATATAAGAGTCATAGCAGCCTAGTGGAAATAAAACTAAAGAAAAAACGGGTGACTTTAAGAGATTTAACAAATCTGCTACTATCTAATACAAATGCTTAAAAATTCCTTTAAAAATAGTCATTTGCCAGGCCAGGCATTTAGCTTAGTGGTTCCGCCGCCTGCCTTGCAAGTCCAAGGTCCCACGTTCAATCCCAGGTACCAAAAAAAAATTTATTTTCCATGGATGCACCTTGAGACTCTAATAATGTTAAATGAAATAAATCAGACACACAAGTTTAAATATCGGATAGTTTCTGTTAAATGGATCAAGAAATACAGGGAGGGGGGCAGTGATTTATCTTGCAGGCGCAAGATTCCAAGTTTGATCCCCAGCACCAAAAAAAAAAAAAATATGCAGGGAGAAGGGAGGGAAAAGGAATGAAAAACACAACTAGAAAGTGTGATATATATGTACCAACTCTCCCCAAAGAATAAAATCATTAAGCAATGTAAGCATGTACTAATAAAAACTTTAAACTGAAAGAAAAAAAGAATCCAGTAGTATAGCACAGTAGTTATGCCTTTTGGCTCAAGCCAGACTACATGTTATCTGAACCCAGCTCTGCTTCCTTCTAACTGTGTGACACTGAGCAATTGCCTCATTTTCTCATGCCTTAGTTTAGTAAAATGGACCCAGTAACAAAGGGTTATTTTAAGACTGAATAGATCATGTATATAAAGCTCTTTGCATAAAGCCTGACATACAGTATACTCAATGTTAGTGAAGGTTAAAAATAAAATTCATTTTCTAATCTTCTATTTGTTAGACAAAACTAGCCAACAACTTAAACAATAATTTCTCCTTTTTATGGGAATACTGTCTAATGTATGAAAATAAAAGATCACATACATATTTAGGCTAACAAAATTATTTGGATAGTTCAGACTATTATTTTATGTAAATGTTTAACTGGTAAATGTTTATATGTGAATGTTTAATTAGCACAAATAAAGTGCATTTTATAAGACACTCAAGAAATATTTGGCTATTAAAAATTATTATCATATAAGGATAAGACACCATAATAACAAATAAAATAATAATTAAATGTAACCATGGAAGCTAGGGAGAATGGTGAGAAAGAACACAAACCTAGACTACAAGCCTGGGTAAAAACTACCTCTACAATCAAAGAATACATAAAGAATACTCAAAACTAGGGCCGGAGATTTAGCTCAGTGGTTTCACCGCCTGCTGTGCAAGCGCAAGGACCCGAGTTCGATCCCCAGTACCAAACAAAACAAACAAACAAAAGAATACTCAAAACTGAACAGATTTAGTATATGACAGTACCAATTAGAGGCATAAAAATAAATTACTTAATAAATACTTAAAGATGCTGGCAAGGCTGCAGGGGAAAAAGGAACCCTTTTGAATTGTTGGTGGAAGTATAAACTATAAACTAGTACAACCACTGCAGAAATCAGTATAGGAATTCCTCAAGAAACTAAAAGTAGAAATTCCATTTGACCCGGCTATTCCCCTTCTAGGTATCTTCCTGAAAGAGTTAAAGACATATTACAAGGCCGAGTGTGATGGCACATGCCTGTAATCCCAGCACCGGGAGCAGGGGGATTGTCATGAGCTGGAGGCCAGCCCAGATTACACAGCAAGACCCTGTCTCAAAACACCAAACAAACAAAGCCTCCTCCCAAACCCATCATGTTACAGTGATCCATGCATACCTATGTTTATAGTAACACAATTTGTAATAGCTAAATCTTGGAAGAAGGCTATATATCTATCAACAGATGAATGCAAAAGAAAATGTGTTATTTACACAAAATGGAGTACTACTCTGCCACAAAAAAGATTTGAATCATTTGCAGGAAAATGCATAATGATATCATAATGTAAAGTGCAATAAATCTGAAACACAAGCTTAAAAGTCACATGGTTTCTCTTAAAACCCAAAATACAGAAAAAAAAAAATAGGAAGTAGGGAGACAGATCGTTCTCAAATGGGAAGAGGGTCGAAGAGGGTCGGGGATCAAGAGATAGAGGGAAAGCTGGATGTGGTGGCCTATGCCTGTGATCCCAGCAACGGAGAGGCTGAGGCAGGAGGATCCTCATGAGTTCAAGGCCAGCCAGGGCTAAATAGTGAGTTCAAGGCCAGACTGGACTACACATTGAGACCCTGTCTCAAAAGAACAAAAAACAAAAAAGGAGGGAGTGGAGATGGAAAGAGAAGAGAAGGGGAGAAGGGGAAAGAGATGAAAAAAAGAATTAAAATGTGTTATGTACATGTACCAACTCCACACAAGGAATGTAAACATTATACATATATTGTACACAAACTAATAAAAGAAAATTTTTAAAGAAAACAGCAGGAATTCACAAATAGCACTCGATATCTCATTTCCTAGGACAGCACAAGTACAGAGGGAAAAAATAAAGAGTCCTATATAGATCCTAGTCTGCACCCATACTCCAAATACATGACATGAGAAGTGGTCAGAATAGGAAATAACCATCCAGCATCCGTCTTAAGTTTATAATCAGATAATAAGTTTCAGAACTGGAAGAATCTCAGTTTGCTAACTTCTAAGATGTGAAGCATGATATCTGTGAAGGAGCATCTGAAACAGTTTCACAGCCAGAGTAGCAGTTACAGATATCCAACCGGACAAAGCAGAGGAGTTAAATCTTTTGTCATGCCGGGGATTTAGCTCAGTGGTTACGGTGCCTGCTTCGCAAGCACAAGGACCCGAATTCGATCCCCGGTACCAAAAAAAAAAAAAATCTTTTGTCATATGCTACCATTAAAAAGACTAAAATGCCCAGGAAATTCTATGTGCTTTTTAGCATAAACACCCAAAGTACCAATTCACTAGGTATAATCTAGGGAAAAATATTTTATTAGCGTTTTGTACCTTACTTGAAATTTCCATCCTTTCAACTGTACTGGTTTCTTAATAACCAGAAATCATCTTGTGAGGCACTGTACCTTAGAAACCAGACAAAAGGAAACACACACACACACACACACACACACACACACACACACACAGCCATAAGTGGTGGTACATTCCCATTATCCCAACTACTTGGGAACATAGTGATTTAGAGACACCATGTCTCAAGATAAAAATAGGGCTGAGGATATAGCTCAGTGCAAAGGCCTTGGATTTAATCTCCAGGGCAGGGGGCATTAATTCTCTCTTTTGATACTGGCAACCACTGTTTAGATCTATTAGTTCAGTAGGTGTTGCAAATGGTGATGTAGTGATTACTACTTAATTTATTAAGTAAAAAACTATACAAGGCAGGATAGCAAAGCATGGTGGCACGTGCTTATAATCCCACCACTCTGGGAGGCTAAGGCAAGAGGACTAAAAGTTCAAGTTCAGCCCAGACAACTTAGCAAGACCCTGTTTCAAAAATAAAAAGGCTGGGACTGTAGCTTAGTGTGAAGGTCCAGGGATCAAATCCCAATAACAAGAACAAAAAAAGCATAGGATAAATTCTTGATTTTTGCCTTTATAAATTTTAGTTTTCAAAATCACAAATTGGCTCTTTTAATTTTGACTAATGTAGTTTTATTTTTAAAACACAGTGTTAAAATTCATGGGTGTGGGCCAGGGTGTTAGTTCAGTGACACCACGCCTCCCTCACAAGTGCAAGGTCCTAAGTTCGATCTCCATTGCCAAAAAGAAAAAAAATTCATGGGTTTTACATAATGTTTTTCAAACCATCTCAGTTATCATTCTTGAAGTGTTAAAAAGAACCTTCCCGCTTTCAGTGATAAAGTATTCATAAAGTTACCATTCTGAATGGACAACTTTTCCTTTTTCAGAATTGGTGATGGAATCCAGCACCTTTGTGCTGAACTACATTCCTAGTCCTTTTTGCTTTTTATTTTGAGACAAGCTCTCATTAAGACACTAGGGCTGCTTAGGCTGAGTTTGATTCTCTTGCCTCAGCCTCCCAAGTGCTAGGATTACAGGAGTGTGCCACTATACCCAGCTGGACCAAAGTCATTGTTAAAAGTACAATATAGTATACAGGTGAAACAAGACTAGTTATAAGTTAATTGTTAAAGCTAAAGATAGATACCCAGGGATTTATTACATTATTCTCTTCACACGTAGTTGGCATTTCTACAATAAAGATCATATATAAGTAAAATAGTATGAAGTTCAGAGAAAAATTACATACTTCCTGTACAATATCCCTAATGGTCAGAAGTGTCAAACAACAGGAAAAAAACTCAAAACCAAAACAGTATAATATAGATGAGAACTGATAGTAAATGTAACATCTAAGTCATTCACATTCACATTTATATTTCTATATCTGAAGAGCCTATTTACCTATCAGAAGCAGCAAAATAAGAGCAGAAATAATACTTACCCATATCTTTGAAACTGATAGTCAAATGTTAACTCTGAGCCTGAAGGAACCAGTTTGGTGGTAAAAAAACCAACTCTCAGCTGTCCATTCACAGTCCACTGAGATGTTTTAAAAAGAAAAAAGAAATCAGTAACTGAATAATGTGTGTGCATACACATCATAATCATGTGGCTTAATTAAACATGTGACTCTTCAGGCAATAAAGGTTTTTCCAAACAGCAAGTGGAGTTTTTTTCTTTGTTACCTTTATTTAACAGACTATAATTTGTCTCTAATAAAAGTAACTACCAGCCAGGCATGGTGGCACATGCCTATAATCCCAGCAGTCTAGGAGGCTGAGGCAGGAAGACTGCAAGGTCAAGCCCAGCCTAGACAATTCAGCAGCTTAGTAATACCCTATCTCTAAATAAAAAATTTAAAAAGGGCTGAGGATATAGCTCAGTGTGAAGGCCCTGTGTTCAGTCTCCAGCACTGGGGGGAAAAAAGTGCTACTTTAACTCTTTTTCATACATAAAGATTCACTTGTTCTGAAAATAGGCAAATAGAAGATGTGTGGTATCACTGATATCACAAGCAAATCTACATTTACTTATGTCAAAAGTAATGATGTTCTAAGACAAATGGGTCCTAGAAACTTAGAAACACTGATGTCAATTGTTTATCTTTATGAAACTGTGGTCATATGGCTGAAGATACTGAAAGGGAAGGGCAACAACAGAACAGATGTGTAACACTCAAAAATTAAATGGGCAGGGCCGGGGATTTAGCTCAGTGGTTTCCCCGCCTGCTGTGCAAGCGCAAGGACCCGAGTTCAATCCCCAGTACCAAAAAAAAAAAAATTAAATGGGCAGATACACTGGTGGTACACCGTGTAGTTTCAGAACATGTAGATTAAATCAAGGACTGTACTGCTCCCCGTTCCAGCTCCATTTGCATATTACTGATGAAATGCCAGACTTCGAGAGATCAAGGCACACAGTAGAGTGAGAGTCTCACAGTTACACATGTGGCCACCAGATGTGGCAGAACGGGAACCATCACTTAGATTAAATGATTCTAGACTGGGTTTTCCATGTTGGTTATGTGGTATATGTAATATCTATAAACATATAGATAAAAGGGTCAAAAATATCCAGGAGTCAAAAGCACTATTTCAACATGAGAGGAAACCAATGATAAACATTTATTTATAAGACGGTAGCTCAATTTATCTTTTATCTGCAAATAGGCCTATGCCTTTCTTATTCTTAAACTCATAATACCTCTAACTTTGGCTATTTGGTCTCTTATGAGTGTTTAATAAAGAATTTGAATATGCAAATAACTGCTCAATATCATCAAAATTAAAATTTAGTTTTGTATTTTGGCATCTCTGAAATAATATACAAAATAATTATGGGCAAGGAAACAATCAAATGCAATGTGAGTTCCTTTGTTGGCTACACTAGAAAAATAACAGCTGTCGAAATTTAAATAAGGTCTTTCAGTTAGTTAACAGTATGCCCTGTGTTATGGTTATATATGACATTACCATTTGGGGATGCTAGGTAAAGGGGGAGCATATGGGTACATACACTGCACTATTTTCACACTACTATAAATCTAAACTTATTTCAAAATAAAAATAATATAACAGATTAGAAAAAAATAAAATTTATGAGTATCTCTGTCATGGAATCTAAAACAGAAATCTTCAATAAATATCCCAAACTCTACTTCTATCTCAACTTACTTTTTGGGTTTCACAGTTTGGTTCACAGCTGTGATTCATGAAACGAGAGCAGTTTCCTTTCTGAGTGGCATCTATTATCTGGGGGAAGATGATAATAGTTTAAAAGTGAGACCTTACAATAGTCATGCACTTTGCAAAGGAGAAAGTATTAAGGCTAATTTAAAACACACACAAATAAGAACCAAGATACATCATGTAAAGATTCAAGTTCCCAATGATGAATGTAACTGTATTGTATACCTAAAATGTACCAATAAACTAAATGGAAAATGAATAAATAAATAAATTTTAAAAACCACATGCACTCTTGCCCTGCTGTGCTTTAAGAGAACTCTCTCATACCACTTCACAATCAAAGTGACAAATATCTAACAATTCTTCTGGAAGATCTGTTAACTATAAACATTTTATATAAAGGCAAAATTATCTCCCTATCTATTAATGTTTCTCCCATTTACCTGTAGCTACTTCTTACATCCTGCTGCATTCCAATCTCGTTTTATATGTGTAACATTTCATTTCAAAATTAATGCTATACCATAGCCCAGTACCACACTCTAAAACTTGAATATGTGTCCAATCTCTGAAGAGTGTAAAAATTTGCTGGGCCCACGCCCAATTACCATGTATCAAGCAAGTCTTAGAGTAGGTCCTTAAATTTCCATTTCCACACTGAATGTGGAAGCAAATAGGAAAATCTAAATCTAGCTGAACCCTATTAAACTAGACATTAAAGACTTTTTAAACATACAAAAATGTTATTTTCAACTAAAAATTATTCTGAAAGTATGTTTTCATAACATTATGTTATTTGTATTAACAAGTAATGGGCTTATTACTTTTAAATGAATTAATATTTTAAAATCTGTTTTAGTTTAAAATATGGTAAATATAACCCAGATCCAAAAAAAGCACTTTGGGGGTCAGTCATCAATAATTTTTAAGTGTTGTAAAAAAAGAAAAACTTGTAATATAAAGCATGCATGTTTATGCTTACATATAAATGTAAACACTTCCCTCTCCCATCCTTTTTGAAAACAAACAGAAATTGTGCACTCTGCACTGTTCTAGCTCTCACTTGTCACTTTAGCAATCAGTGAGTATACTCCTTCCAATCCAACAATTTCCAGCTCTGTTTCAAAGAAAACACACCCATGCTGCTCACCTCATCGTTCTTCAGGGCCATGAAATAGTAATGGATGTTTTTGTTTCGTGCATATTCCTTCACCCGAGCTTTAAATTCTTTATGATCAAGTACCTCTCCACAATATTCCAGGACAAAGGTGTTCCTGTCAAACAATGGGAGAAAAATATAGCACTTCCTGCCTTAAGTATATGCAAACACATACACATCCAGGCAAAAATAACATTTAAAGAAATAATGCAAAATGGATAAATTTGGGCTGGGCAGTGCTTGCCTTTCATCCCGGCACTGGGGAAGCTAAGGCAGGAGGATAATGGCAAATTCAAGGCCACCCAGGGCTACATATTGAGTTCAAGTCTCAAAATCAACAAGTAGACAATCTGATATCACACAAAATATAATTAAAATGCATATTTAAGTATCTAATATCTAACCAAGGTTAATTTTCTTCTAATACTTTTCAAAGAATACTAACTCTAAGAACCTTTTATAGATTTTATACTTCATACCTACTTCTAAAATACATATCCTTTCTTTAGATACTAAAACAAATGTTTGAGCTGAGCTGGGTGTGGTGGCACACACCTGTAATCCCAACACCAGGAAGGCTGAGGCAGGAGGATCTTTGTGAGCTGAGGCCAGCCTGGGATACACAGTGAGTTGAAGACCAGCCTGAACTACATAGCAAAACCAATGTTTGGGATGGGGATGAAGCTCTGGGGCAAAAGGCTTGCCTAACATATGTGAGGCCCTGGGTTCAATCCCAACCTCTGATGGAAAAGAAGTTCAAATATGGTTTATAATATTAATATTATGAAAATTGATTCATAGCTAGAAAACAGCTCTGAAAAAATAGACAAGCAAAGAAAACTTACAGGCATTTTGTTCTAGAAAAAGAGAAGGCAATGGACTAGGAGTATAGCTCAGTGGTACAGTACTTGTCTAGCATGCACTAAGCCCTGGGTTTAAGCACTACATAAAAGAAAGGGGGGAGGGGCCAGGGATTTAGCTCAGTGGTCTTGCCGCCTGCTGCACAAGTGCGAGGACTGGAGTTCAATCCCCGGTACCAAAAAAAGAAGAAAAACGGGGGGAGAGGAAGAGGAGGAGGAGTAAAGGAAGTTAAATGTAGTGCTCGCTTCGGCAGCACATATACTAAAACTGGACCGATACAGAGAAGATTAGCATGGCCCCTGCAAAACGATGACATACAAATTCGTGAAGCGTTCCATATTAAAAAACAAAAACAGAAACAAAAAAGAAAGTTAAATGGAGCAGCTCTTCTGCCACTTTTACTCTCAAACATCTCTAACATCTCTAATGATGTTAAAAGTCAAATCCAGGCCGGGGATTTAGCTCAGTGGTTCCAGTGCCTGCCTCGCAAGTCCAAGGTCCCGAGTTCAATCCCCAGTACCAAAAAAAAAAAAAAAAGTCAAATCCAGGCTCCAGCTGGGCCAGTGGCCTCACTATCCAGTGTAGAACACACATACAGAATCTGTGTAAGAGAGCTGTGCAGAATGGTGCTGGAAGAAACTTATTTGTACAGAGATGCTCCTGAGAATAACCCGCATATTCCATTTGATTTCACACCAGTCAACTGTAAAAGGATAGAGGTAATTCCTTTTTAAAAAAATAAAAATCAATCCAAAGGGGTATAAACCAGAAGTTTCCTGGATGTAGCCCAAAGGCAGAATGGGTGGCTGCCTGCCTCTGCCACAGGCTGCAAAAGTTTTGTAAGTACCTCCAATAAAAGTACATGAGGTAGCAACTTTTTACACCATGTATCTCATTTAGGTCTGCATTGCTTATACTGTGCCTGCTGAACTCTAACAGCATAGTGGAGCCACTCAGGAAAAAAAAACAACAAAAAAACTTGGAATAAAAGTGGAGGAAGCTATGTTTAACAAATTTTTTATTCTTATAGAAGTAGAATGTTTAGGGGCCAATGTAGATCACTAATGGTCCAAATAAATGAAAACTACTCTGAGGATCAGATACTTGAAGATAATGAACTGATGAGTACTGATGAGCTCAAAATGGACAAAATTCTAAAACCCGAGCCAAGGAGTGGATACTTCTCTTGTGACCAGTTAGAGGTCTGACTTCTTTAAGTGAGGTGGCCTGAACCACCCAAAGGACTTGGCTTTGGTGTACAAACAGGTTTTTAATTTAGAGTCAACTATACATGAGTCACTGGAGGAAGAAAAAAGTCTTTAATTTAGATTCAACTGTACATGTCACTGGAGCAGCCTGGGCTATTAAGCAAGTTCAAGGCTGGTGTGGACTACATAGCCTGTTGTCAAAAGAATAAAAGAAAATTAAGACCTTTTCTGACTGCATCTTGTGAGTTCTCTCTTACACTTAGGAATAATTATGGTTAATCTCTCTGGCTTCTTTCAGTTACCTTATACACTCCCCCACACCCGTCCCCCTGGCGCCTGCCTGGAAGTCTTAAGCCCTCAAAATAAACATGTCCTAACACTATTGAAGATTTTTAAAAATGCAAATCATTTATTTGTTTACAACATACTAACATAATCAAAATTCTTATCAAAGAAAAGAGTTAATCTGGCCAATTGAAAAAATTAAATTCTCTTAATTTAGAAAAACAAAGCATTTAAAATGAGTGAGAATGGGCCGGGGATTTAGCCCAGTGGTTCCCTCGCCTGCCTCGCAAGCGCCAAGGTCCCGAGTTTGATCCCCAGTACCAAAAAAATAAATAAATAAATAAAATGAGTGAGAAGATGGGCAGTGTATGCCTGTAATCCCAGCACTCAGAAGGCTCAGGCAAGAGGATCAGCACCCAGCCTGGGCTACATAGCGCATTTCAGGGCCAGGGATGTTGCTCAGTGCAAGTCTGAACTACATAGCAAGACCAAGTCCCCCTCCTAAATTAAAAAATTTTTAAAGAGAAATGAACAATTGCATTAAAAAGCAAACTCAAAAACAGGATTAGAAAAATTTAAAGATGTATGTGTATTTGTGCACCAGCCTATCACAAACATATTTAGACCTCAATAACAAAAAATTAAGTTACTTATGACTAAACCACTAGAGTCAAATCTTAACAACCAAACTTAATTTTCCTTTCTAATCAACCTGTAAGTAAAGCAAAAAGATGATAAAACTCAAAGTCCTATGCAATGTCTGGCTCTCCAGTTCTAGGATTCATACCTTCCTTTGAGAAAAAGAAACAACGTATCATAGGCTGCTTTGTGAATTGTGATAATGGCTACAAAGCCTACTATATGCAGGCTGTAGACACTCACAGGGAAAAAAAAATTCTTCTATTCCCTCCTTTACCAAAAGTCAAATTCTACTCCTTGAATTTGATCATTTAAAGGTCACTGATGCCATGTCACTCAGGTATTATGCTCACCTGACAGATAACAAAGATGGGGTTTAGCCAGGCATGGTGATAGCCTATAATCCCGGCACTCTGGGAGGCTAAAGCAGGAGAATCACAAGTCCTGGGCAATTTTCTTTTTTTGCAGTACCAGGGATCGAACACAGGACCTTGTGCCTGTGAGAAATTCACAGTGCCATTGAGCTAAATCCCTGGCCCAGTCCTGGGCAATTTAACAAGACCCTGTCTTGGAATTTTAAAAAAATTTTTTAAAAGGTCTAGGGATGTACCTGAAGTGTTTGTATGAGAGAAAATAAGAGACTGATATGAAAATCATTTTCTATCTACACAAGAAAAAAAGAACAATTTGGCTTTCAAAAGATGTACAAAGATTCATGTCAGAAATCCAACTTACTGCCTTTATTACCCAGTTATCTCAACAATAAAAAGACCACCCGACCCACCCATACCCCCACACCCCATTCCAACTCCCACTTCAATTTCCATCCAAGGGTGGCTATATGCTTACAGGGTTCTGAAAGAATAGTTGTGCCTGAGTTACTGAATGCAGCAAACATTTTATTTGCTCCTTTACTTCCATTTATGTATTTTTAAATCATTTCAACCATAAACACATGCAATATTTAACTATAAAGTAAAAGGCACTCAACTTTTTTTTTGTACTGGGGATTGAACTCAGGACCTTGCACTTGCAAGGCAAGAGACGGCACCACTGAGCTAAATCCCCAGCGGCGCTCAGTTTTTATTAAGAACATTTAAACATGCTATAGATTAGAAAACTAGATGTCTCAAGGTAGAAAATAATGGGAACCTTTCATTGTATTACATTTAAAAGTTACATGAGTGAAAGAATTTCTTTCAAACACTTGTTGTGTATCTACCAAATCTGCTTTAATGTTCTGCACTGATGAGTATCAGATTATCTCTTCTACTCTTATCCCAACTCAGTTTTATGAACATTAATAGATTTTGTGCTAACTCCCTTTTTATAGGACTTCACAGCAATTCTGGGGATCTACAGCAAACAGTACGGCTTGCAATTACAGAAATCATAACTATCTACCTAGGTACCTGGCAAGAAAGGATCTACTAGTCCAAATGTCACAAGTGACAAAATATTTTTCTGGTATATAGAAAGGGATTCTTTATTTCCTAGAAGTCAATTAAAGAAAAAGTTACCAGGGCCGGGGATTTAGCTCAGTGGCGCCGTGCTTGCCTCACAAGCACAAGGTCCTGAGTTCCATACCCGGTACCGCAAAAAAAAAAAAAAAAAAAAAAGTTAGCAAATAATCATTTTGTACAATAACCAACATTTAATGTCAGTGCAACAGAGAATTCATTTTCCTACAAGACATCTAACCAAGCTCATCAGCAATTTTTAATAAGGTGATTAAAACATAACTTACGAAGGAAGATCTTTGGCCGCTCTTAAGCCCCAACCTTTCTTTTCTGTAAGAATGACTTCCACATCTGCATGCTGTTTTCTCTGAAACCGTCTATTGGAACAGTAATCCCCATTCGGACACCGAGAAGAACTGAAATAAGAAACAGGTGAAAATTAACTCTTTAAGCAGCAGAAGAACCAAAATACCTTCACTAGAATGTGTCATTAAAAAAAATAAATGCATCTTAATGGCATAATCAGTGCATGTACAGCTATCCTCCAAGTCAGCCTTCCTGAATCATTCTTTCCATCACAAAGGGATTTTTCAGAATTCAGTGTCTACATTCCTACTCAGCCAAACATATTTAAAATATAGCCTTGCCATTTGATCAACAGAAAGGTCTGCCTACCACTCCCTAGTGTTTAGAATACGGTTCCAGGCTATGTACAAGCTACAACACTTTGACAACTCTGCAGAGTTAACTTATTTTCTTTCTTTATATATATGTGCTTGGTTTTTATTCGTTTTTCATTATCAGGGACAGAACCTAGAACCTTCATATTGAGCTACACCCCAGACCCCAGATCCCCTTTTTAAAAAATTTTTTTTTACTGTGAAGCAGCATTTCACTAAGTTACCCAGTCTACGCTCTAACTTGAGATCCTCCTCCCTCAGCCTCCCAGAGTTCTGGGATTACAGGCATGCACCCAGTTTTTTGTTTTTTTTTTTTCCTTTTTGAGACAGAGTCTTGCTATAGCTTAGGCTCGCTTGAACTCATGTAGCCCAGTCTGACCTCTAACTCACACCTATGCTCATTATCAGCCTCCTGAGTGCTGAGATTACAGGCCAGTGCGCCACTGTGCCTCAGCACTCATTTTTTTAAGTGTACTTTCTGTTACATTTCCTCACTGTATTCATCATTAATTTGGTCTTTCGAACGTAGTGAACTACTTTATCTACATTTGAGAGAAACCAAAGCCATTATTAAACATAGCCTTGTTGGGAGTAAATGCAATATAACAGGGCCAGGCTCTTCAATGGATCCAATAACAAAACATTCATCAAAATCTTAATATTCCAAAATTGCCCGCTATCAACGGTTTTTATGGGGGGGGGCGTTGTTTATTGAGACAGGGTCTTGCTAGGTAATCCAGGCTGACCTAGAACTTACAATCCTCCTGCCTAATCCTCCAGAGTGCTGGGATTACAGGTGTGCACATACCATCCCTGGATCTAGAGATTTTAATGTCTATTAAGATTATAGCCAGGATACGAGGTCAACACTCAAAAAATAGCCTTCTTGTACACAAATAGCAAACTCACTGAGAGAGAAATTAGGGAAACAATTCCTTTCACAATAGCATCCAAAAAAATGAAATATCTAGGAAACAATCGTAACAAAGGAAGCAAAAGTCCTCTACACTGAAAACTACAGCACTCTGAAAAAGGAGATCGAGGAGGATATAAGAAAATGGAAAGACATCTCTTGCTCCTAGGTAGGAAGAACCAACATAGTGAAAATGGCCATACTTCCAAAACTGCTACACAGATTCAATGCAATGCCAATTGAAATCCCAACAGTATATTTCACAGAACTACAGAAAACAATCCAAAAATTCATCTGGAACCAGAAGAGACCTAGAATAGCAAAAGCAATTCTATGCAACAGAGACATGGCAGAGCGTATCCACAATCCCCAACTTGAAACTATACTACAAAGCTACTTTGATAAAAACAGCATGGTACTGGCAAAGAAACAGACCAGAGGATCAGTGGAATAGATCAGAAGATGCAGAAACAACTCCAGACATATGCAGCCACCTCATCTTCGACAAAGGAGCCAAGCACCCTCACTGGAGGAAAGAGAGCCTATTTAATAAATGGTGTTGGAAAAACTGGATTTCAACCTGCCAAAGATTAAAACTAGACCCATATCTATCACCATGCACTAAAAAACTAAGATTGAAGTGGGTTAAAAATCTAAATATTCGGCCAGGGATTTAGCTCCATGGTGCCTCCGTCTGCCTTGCAACTGCAAGGTCCTGAGTTCGATCCCCAGTACCAGAAAAAAAGATCTAAATATTAAAACAGAAACACTAAACTTGCTGGAAGATAAGTTAGGTGGAACTCTTGAAGACACTGGCACAGGAAAAGACTTTATAAACAAAACCTCAGTAGCACAGGAACTAGAACAAAGAATCAACAACTGGGATCTCATCTTATTAAAAACCTTCTGCACTACAAGAGAAACTACCAACAGAGCTAAAAGACAACCTACAATGTGGGAAAAAATTTTTAGCAGCTGTACCTCAGACAAAGGACTATTCTCTAGAATATATAAAAAACTGAAAAAAATCAGACCCCCCCCAAACTCAAAGACCCAATTCAAAACTGGGCATCTGAAATGAACAGACATTTCTCCGACAAAGAAATAGAAACAGCAAATAAACATATGAAAAAATGTTCAACATCACTGGTCATTTGAGAGATCCAGATGAAAACAACACTGAGTTTCCACCTCACCCCAGAAAGAATGGCTGCTATCAAGAAATCAACCAATGCTGGGAATTTAGCTCAGTGGTTCCGCCACCTGCCCCACAAGCACAAGGACCCAAGTTCGATCCAGGTACCAAAAAAAAA